TCTTTTGCCAAAGAATGCTGCGATAACCTTTGCAAGCCAGACAAGAAATCAAAATTTCCACTAGAGTCCATACAACAGAATGAGCAAACAAAAGGCAAATCTGTTTTGTGGAGGAATGCAAATTGATGGTTATTTAGAAGTTCGCATTTCTGATGAAACCAGCGGTCACAACTGTCACAGCCAATGTTTCTGTTTCCATCGCATTCTTCTCCACATTTGCCGCATGGAAATGATGCCATTTTTTGTTTTTGGATGACGTAATAACGTGAAAAATGAAAGAAAATCAAAAAAATATATATATACTGCGTGGCAGTTTTGAAAAAAAACAAAAAAAGAAAAATACAAAATAACTAAAACAAAAAAAATGTATGCGTTTAGTGAAAAACTAGCTACTATTAAGGATAACTATTTCTATACTATAATTACAAAATATATGTATATATATATATAACTTTAGCTACTATTTAGGTCAGCTTCTATTATACTACAAATAAACTTTTTTCCACTCGCGCAACTTAATTATAGTTTTCATTAACTGGATGTCCAAGCAATTAGTGAAATTAAGTTTGTAGGTATAGGCATGTTAAAATCACAAAGAAACCACTCAGTGTTTTTTTAATAAACGTGCCGAAGCCAATTACGTGCTCATCCCAAGCCATCCAAGTTTGAAAAAAAAAATGTTAGATGACTAAAGAAAAATATAAAAAAGAAATAAAAAATTTCAATAAAACACTAGATACGCAATATACATAAATTATTTTTCCCAATTTTCCGTACTCATGCTGTTGTTAATTACACCTGTTATACCCAGAAAACGTGTTTCCAACAGACCTAATTTTTTCATGTACATAAATTATTTGAATCATCGCATACCTCATCTATAATATTTAAAACTTCGCATAAAATGTATCTTTTTGATTAATTCCGAATTTTTCCCTTTGTGTATATGTGGCATTTGAGTGTGTTAAAGGAGAAACAACGACAAAAAAGAATTCTTTTGTAAATCATTTGAAATAATACATCTCAAGATACTGAATTCTTAATGAAAAAAAATTATAGCCAGTTCATATTAAAATATGTCATGTATTCAAAGCAGGTCTAAGTTAGATGTTCTTGATGGTTTTGTGAAATAAGACTAAATGTTTGAATATGTGTGACTATGTTTAATTTTTTCCGTCTCTCATACTTGTACATTCATGATATTTATTTCCTATAAAAGATGAAATAAATACACCAAATGCAAACAATTCAATCATTTATTCATTTAAATATTTGACACAAAAACTTGGACTGCTTCGTCTAAGACCTCTGTACTATATGGAATGCACCAATCTGTTAAAAAAAAAATAAATAATAATAATAAATTATGTCTTTGATGCCATTTTATACAATACAAATTAAAATATTAAACACAAAAATATTTAATGAATTATACGACTTCCAACTAACTGTTGTACCGATTTCCCAATTAGAGTTGTCTCTCTTGTCATTACGTTTAGCGCTCATAATTATTGTAAATACCTAATACGGATTAATTTATTCAATTATTAAATATGAAATCATGATCTGTATTTAACATTTTGAAATATTTTTTAACCATGTCAAAAAAAAAAGAAAAAAAGGCCTGTTATATTTCATGTATTTAGGAACCAGTCTGGTATATTGAAAAGCACCACGGCAGGCGTTTCGTACGTAGTATTCTTGTTCTTGTATAGACTAATTTTAGCAAAGAAAAATAAAAATAAAGTTGCGAAATATAATGTTAAAAGTCCAAAAAATTAAAATATATATATAAAAATTAAGAATATAAAAGAATAAAACGGCAGGCGTATAGTTTTTCTCGGCAGGCGTATTTTACTTTGGCAGGCGTCGGCAGGCGTATTTTAGTAGGACCGAATGAAAACAAGCGGCGGCTAGCAGAATATATTTTTTGTTTACAAGTAATTTTCAAGAGTACATGTAGTAAGATGACTTACAATGACGATGTATTTCTGCATTTGATTGTATTTGTCAAATAAGCACTCGTGTAAACTTAAAAGGACCTGTCGTTGGTTTTAATGCGATGTTCTATTGAAAGCAAAATTGGCGAGCCCAGTCATGTTTCGGAAGGCATGGGTTATCCAGTACGGGTAATTTAAATATAAACAATAGCCCTTGCTTCCTGCCAAAATGATATTTCATGATTTGAAAGATGTCCAATTAGACAATATTATTTCATTTGGTGACCATGGAGGACTGTGAACCACAGGAATTGTTAATGCACAATGTTCAGGACCTTAGAAAACGGTTACTGGACACTGAAAGAAATTTGAAGAAACTGTCAAAAATTGACCAGCGGGGGAATTATGACGAGTAAGTCCATTTTGGCCACAGGTGATTTAAGGAATTCCATTTTGGGGCTTGTATAATGCTATGAATGTGTGGAATGTGCTGATAATGATAATTTATGCAAAGTTGGAATGCATGCAATTCTTTTAAAAACGTACTTATTTTGCTTTTGATCTAAATATGATTTTATTAAAAATGAACTTAGAAACATAATTTTTTTTCGTAACTGTAATCTATAAATATTTTAATGAAATGAAGGTTAAAAATCAGAATGCTTATCAATCGGTTGTTTGATTTAATTGCATTGGAACAACAGTATAATTGGATGACACAATTTCCAGCATGACCGTGAGACAGTCTTCTGCTTTACTGGAGAATTTAAGTCACTTTTAATTTTATACATCCAAAGCATCAAATTTTATTTTAAATATCACATAGAGTCAAAGACAGTATTTACTGTTACATGATGAAATGTGAAATTTCCATGAATGTGAGAAAAAGAATCCTCTGCAATGCTGTCCAGAGCTTTCTTATTAACATTAGAAGTTAATTTTGACTCGCACAGCATGTCAAAAAGAAAATAATTTCTTATATTATTAATTTATAGAATGCAGTATTTTTTACATGAACTTAGAGTGTATCTGTATATTTCAGCTCTGACCTAGAATCTATATCAACATTAAATAGTGTGGCTGCCACAGACCGATTTGTAGTTACAATGGATGATCTGATGAGAAATCCCCTGCATCATGATATTTCTTGTGACAAAGACAGCATTAAGTCTGGACTGGCCACTCTCCCCGAATCATCTTATGCTGGGTTTGAGAGATTAAAGCATGCTTCTAGCACACCAAATAAACCGCAGGTAAGGGCATTTATATGTATTCTTAAGATTAGTTGCTTTTCAATTTAAGTTTTGAGCTCCATGCAAAGCTTACCATACTAGTTCAATTGTAAACAGCTAGGGTAAAGCTCATGTGATTTTTCTGTGATATTTTTTTATTTGGAATAAATTTTCTCTTTATTTTGAGCAGGAAACAGCTGACTTGCATTTTAATTATATCCGCAACAGATTGAATTTTCTTTCGTATGGTTTTTATTTAAGAAATAGTGCATAAGTACTCTCTCCCTGAAATACTGAATTGTAAGAAAATATTTGACATTTGTGAATATGTTTACTCTATTCTATACTAGACATTCAGTCGACTCGACCGTCATGAGAGGGTGCAGTTGATGGAGAGGGGCTCACAACAGGAGTCCGGAGAAATCCGCTACTTAAAGGAGGCCAACAAAAAACTGCTGCAACAAAACCATAAACTGCTGGGAGAGATGGAGAAATGTAGCCAAGAGCTGAATGCTGCCAGATCAAAGGTCAGAACGGGTTTTCTCAGAATAGAATGGATAGATAATGGTTGTACAACAAAGTAATGTTCATCCCTTCTGGTTTCAAAATGTATCTACATATGAAATACAAGGAATTACATGTGCATAAAAAACACATCAAAAGTATTTTGCATTTTATAACAGTTTGTACAACAAAGTAATGTTCATCCCTTCTGGTTTCAAAATGTATCTACATATCAAATACAAGGAATTACATGTACATAAAAAACACATCAAAACTTTTTTGCATTTTATAACAGTTTGTTTTACTGACTGTACATTTGATTGAAAGTTTCAGCCTTAGAGAATAACTTGTGATCCTAACATAAGCTTGATTTGTTCTTTTGTATAGGTGCTGGAATTAAGTACAGAGTTAGACGACTACCGACAGAGTGTACCAGACTTGGAGGATAAAATTGTTGGACTGCGAGCGGAAACAGAATCACAGGACAAAGCCCTGAGAGAGGCCGAGGAACGTTACGAGAAAATACAGCGACAGAATGCCGACTATCAACTACAGATCAAACAGAATGAACTGGAAATAGAAGAGCTCCAAACAGACTTAAAAGATGAAAAGAAAAAGAGAAAGGGGTATGAGGGATTTGATATTGACTTCTTGATTATTTTTCTGTACTCTGTAGCTTAAAAAAAAATCATTTAGAAGCCTCTCTCTTTAAGTACAGAAAAAAATTCTTTTCTAGTGACAAGAAATCGACAGAACTGTTATACTTTTAAATTAAGTGTTAAATAAAACACTCTCTATAGATGTACACACTGAAATTGATTAAGACTCATTATGCTTCCTATACAACAGGGCTGAGGTTCAGAGGGATGAGGCTCTACAGAACTTCATAGAGGCCCAGGAGACTCTGGAGGATTACCAAAGGAAAGCTAAAGATAAAACCAAAAAGGTACGCTTAATGAAGAAAATAAAAGAAAGAAAACAAATTCACAATCACAGAAAACTCTTTAAAAGTATTGAAAATTACAACTGCACTTTATAACAGCATTGATCTCTTAAAAAACTTCTTTGTACAGTACATCTAATTCATTGTTAAATATTTTATGTGTACTCCAAAAAGCGGGCTTCATATTTTAGCGGCTTTGGCACAGATAAGAATGCGCTAATTAATGAATACCGCTAAGAAATCATTTACTAATAAATACAAGGCACTAATTCATGATTAAGCCTACAACTCTATACTCCTTGATTGTACTAAATTTTGAATATGCTAATTTATGTACACGTACAGTAATTGTAAGAGTTTCATTATACTGATTCATATTATGCTTAAATTTTCATCCATATTTGTGTTAATTCTTTATTATATAACTTCTTTTGAATACCTGACTAGTCAGTAAAATATTAAATTCATGTTCGTGTGTCTTTGATGTTTGTAGTTGGAGAACAATGAGGATTACCTGAGAGACAGTCTGGGTGAGGCTAACCAGGAACGGGAGGATCTACTGGAGCGGATCTCACTTCTTCAGGCCAAAATTAAAAGTCAGAATGAGGAAATTAGGTCAGTGTACCAGGTTGTTTAAATTTAAATTAAAAATGTTCCAAAAAAACTTCACATAAATTACTGGTACTTTTGTGCTTTTAATTTTTACAATCTTTATAGGAAGAAGTAGTCATACTGACTTCAAAAGAATAAAGGTGTTGTTTGTTTTATTTTATAGGAGATTACAGCTTTTGGAGGACATGGAACTGGATAGCCGGAGGGAGTTAGAGAAACAGAATACAGAACTAAAATCCTCACTGAACAAAAACACCTCCAAACTTAGTATGTCACATAAGTAAGATTTTTTATGAACAAAAACTCGGTAAACATATGTCATTATTGGAGCAGTTTTTTATTCATATTTACAAAGCCAATGGGGCAGTTATATTAAAGTTATTACATGTACCGGTAATTGACCAGGAAAAATTTGAGTCAGTAGCCCCATTGACCTATAAAAAATGATTGTTTTGAGTCCAGGTTAAAAGTGAATGCTACATAAATTATATGACTTCAGTTTTGAAATACATGTACATGCTAGAGGAATTGTAATTTTTTAATTTTAAAAATGTAGGCATGCACCTTAACATCAGAATGTTCTCTGTTTTTGATTCAAAGCAAAATACTATATATTGATACAGGCAGGCTTGAGGCAGATTCTTTGAAGATGACAAGCCTAGAGAGAGAGAATGCTCGACTTCAGAGTCAAGTGGACCGCCAGAGGGAACAGTTATCAGTGTGTCAACAGGAAATAGAGGAGAGTAGGACCATGTTGTCACAACTCGAACAACTCGCCCAGCAAGTCCAGAACCAAAGCAAGTCTCAGAGTGTAAGTACAGATCCAGAACAAGTCTCAGAGTGTAAGTATAGAACAAGTCTCAGAGAGTGCAGAGCAAGTCTCAGAGTGTAAGTACAGAACAAGTCTCGAGTGTAAGTATAGAACAAGTCTCAGAGAGGAAGTGCCGAGCAAGTCTCAGAGTGTAAGTGCAGAGCAAGTCTCAGAGTGTAAGTGCTGAGCAAGTCACAGAGTGTAAGTACAGAACAAATTTCAGAGTGTAAGTATAGAACAAGTCTGAGAGTGAAAGTACAGAACCAGAGCAAGTCTCAGAGTGTAAGTCCAGAACAAATCTTTAAAGTGTAAGACCAGAACAAAATTGTAGGTTAAAAGTAATTGAGAAACTATACTTTGATGGTATTTGAATGCATATATCGTAATATACTGCATCAATGAATTAAATTTACTGTTTTCAGAGAGGAGCCAGCTTTAATGACAGCGGTGTGTACAGTGTGAGTGTGCGAGCTGTCTCAGACTCATCTAAAGGTCAGTCACATGACATGGGGTCATCCACGTTCTACAGGTCAGGAGGGGCAGAGTATGGAGCAAGTGAGCAGGCCTCGGCAGCCTCAGGAGGGGCCAGGGCAATATTACAGGACTTAAGGTAGTACATATTTAATTTTGAAAATGGGGAAAAATGATAAAGAGGGGCTGATCATTGATTCAAATATTTTAAATATATTACAATATATAAAAATAGAATTTTGAATATGTTTAGTGCATGTTTTGAAAGTATATGAATTTATTCATGTGCTACTGTTTATATGTGAGGATGCACTTGATTTAGCAGAAGCTGCTTTTCAACCAAGGGGAGCTAAATAAAAACACAGCAAAATGGGAAAATATTCAAATTTTGCATATAATACCACACTGTTGATGTTAACAGGATGCAGCTGGCGATGAAGGATGCGGAGATCCAGCGTCTACAGTCATGTCTACAGTCCCAGGAGGCCAGTAGTCAGACGGTACTTATAGAGAGTCTACGGATGGAACTGACCAGCATGCTGGAGAGCAAACATCAAGGTGAGACCAGAGTCTGTGTGTCAGACAAGTGAAAAATAAAACAGTATTAGCTAAATTACCAAATATCACTTAATTTTAATCTAGGACTTTCAAATACAATTTTTTTTTTCTTTTTTACTGCACTTATATATAATTGGATTTTAAAAAAAAAATTGAATCAAAAGTTTATGTTATGTTTTCTTTGGATAAGTGCTTTTTGTATGTGTTATAAATGTACGTTCTTACTCACTGTGTTTAAAAAAATAAATTATCTGTCACTTCTTGGTTTGATAAAATACATGTGTTGAAAATGTCAAATTGTAAAGCTTAGGAGTTAAAAAATATTTTTCTTTATACAGAAAAAGGAACATCTGAAGGTTTTTTTAAATTTGTGGTTTATTTTCATAAATTTCTGATTCTGTTTGTAGTTCTTGTTCTTCCTTTTCTTTAAACATACATATTATCCATATTCCCTGATATTTATTTTTTAAAACCAAGAAACCTATACTTTTCTGGGGTTTCCCATAAATATACATGCACTGAAAATTGACTCAAATAATACACTTTATTTTCTTATATTTGATATGCACTTCTTGAAAGACTTGGCTACAAATACAATTTTTATGTGGAATTAGTGATAGTTTCCTTAAAAATTGGTATTTAATTTCAATTTTGCAATTTTAAAATCTAAAGTAAATTAAATTAAAGAAATTCAAAGATTTCACTGCACATATACTGTATTTTACTGTATTGATTTGAAATACCTGTAGGTGCTCATAAAGCCCAGGAGCTGGAGATGCTAGTTTCCCAGTACGAAGTGGACAAGTCCAGGATGGCCGGTGAGATTTCTGAGTTAAAGAGAGAGTTGGGAGAGAGAGAATCTCAGAACACATCGTTTGAGACCAGAATTACTCAGAGAAACTCTCAGCTCATTGAGCTTCAGGAACAGATTAACCACAAGTGTACCGAGATTAGCAATCTGGAAAGGGAGGTAAGCATGTATTTTCATTAAGATTTCTCATTTCCCTCTTGTGCATTTTGCATTTGACATGTCTATTGCAATCAGAGGTTAACATATACGGGATGTTTAAAGTCACTAGCTTTAATTGAATCTTCACTAACTATAACCTTTGAATAGAAATTACAGCACTTGTGAGTGGTTATTTTAATTTTACCTATTAGCTAAACATTTTGATGAAAAATGATTTCTTTGCAAACCAGCAGTCCTTATATTTCAATAAGTAACCTTGAGATGTACTGATACATTGCGATGAAATATTATGATACGAAATATTGTTTCCACTCATTGAAAATCAGTTGTTATTTTCCATTAATATAATTATTTCAAGCAAATTACATGCATTTTAATTTTATACAAACTAATATTCTCAATGATTGCTGTGTTTCAGGTCAGAAAGAAGTCATCTCAGATCAATCAACTAGAAGAACAACTGGATGAAAAGTCGGCCGAGTTTTCCACTTGTGTGTCCCGAGTCAAACAGCTGGAGCATGACGTTACCTTTAGAGATGAGGAGATCACCAGGATACAGGTCGAACTGAAAGAGAAACAACAAACACTTCAACAGCTCCGCAGTAGTACAGAGAAAAACCAACAGCTCCACCAGGAACAGTGTAGGGATTACGAGAAGCAGATCGACATGGTAACAGCATATCTACTTCATTGGTTGATCTTGAATAAGTCGCACCAAAAAAGTGTTTCACATGATTTTTTGACAATTTCAGCTTCTAAATGGGTATTGAATAAATAAATTATAATTAGTAGCAATTTTGTTTTTAAAATTTGAAATGCATACATGTACGGTAATTGCCTCTTTTCATCAATAAAATGTTGCTTTACATTTGTCAAATTACGTGTAAGTCTACATTAATGTTTATTGAATTGTGAATTTAAGTCTATTACTGAATCTTAAATTATCAGATCCAAAAGGAACTTGAAAATAAATCATCAGTTTATGAAGAAAATTCAAGTCATCTGTCACATTATAAAAGGGAATTGGAAGAAAGGAACTCACAAGTGAAGAAATTACAGAAAGAACTCAACAAAACAAAGGAGGTAATCTTTACTTTCAGGTATCATTAAAACAATTATCAAGTTGATTTCTCTTTAGCTTTGTGCATGCACTAAATTGAAATGATATGACACTAACAGAGACACAACATATTGATATTGAACATTTCAGTATTTACATGTATGTGCACTTAACATTATGAAGTCATGACAGTTATTCCCCTTTAATGTTTTAAGCTGAAGTAATTCTTTTCTTTTTTGTCTAAAGAGTCTCAGTTTCACATTCAGATAATAAACTACATGCATTTATATCTCTAGGAACTGGAATTACAAACCCAGCAGAGTCAGTTTTCCCTTCGTCAGTTGGAGGCTCAGGCCAGTGAGGGGACATCTCAGATGAGACAGCTAGAGATGGCCCTACTTCAGTGTAAAGAAGAGGTCAAGACTTATCTCGGGGCCCTGGAAGAATCTCGAGATAAATACGACAGAGACATCAGACACAAGGAAGAAATGGTAAATAGATTGGTATTCTTTAAGCTGCTGCTGATTTTCACATATCAAATATTTGCACTTATTCTATACATAGAATTGCTGAATTCTAAGCATGGATATTTTATAATACAAAAGTTTAAATGTGAGGGAGATGTTTGAGTTTTTTTCTACCATCAGCTTGCAAGTGTATCAAAAAGTTGAAATCATTATCTTGCAAAGTGGTCTCTTTTTTTGTGACAATCTAGGAACATATCTTTATATAAGCACAAACTACAATATACATTTTACATGTTAATATCTGCTTTTTTTGTTAGCCTTTAATTAAATGAGAAACATGATGATCTTTTCTTCCAAATATGCACAAGATTTCAAGCTCTTCAACCTTAAATTAAACAAGAAACTGATACCTTGATTTTATTAATGAAAAAAGGTTTAAGAAAAAGATGTTTTGTAGGTAATTATTGAGGATAACCCTGACCTTTACACGACCTCTACCTGGCGTATATATCATGTAGGTCTCTGTCCGCTGTACTAACCACATCAGCATGTCAGACAGGCTTTAGTGTGGTTGTCTTGTCAAAGAATGGGGATCATAGAGAAAAGTAGTGCATGTAGAATTTAAAACAACAATCCCTAAGGAAAAATTTAAAAAAGACGGCCCATAATAGCCAAAAGAATCAATGTGTCAGTTTTGCTGTGTGATTTTTTTTAAATGTCCAAAGCAGGTGTGGGAATCATTCAGTATAACTTCATGTTCATTACTTCATTTGAAATAAAATACATCACAAATCCATATTTCAACTTAATAGCTCACTCCCATCTCATCATACTGACCAATTTTCTGTTTTAAAAAAAAGATATTTTCTGACTAAGCTTAAAGTTAATATCCGTCCTATTTTGCTATAAAGAAAATAATATATATTTTCTGATTGCTTTTTCATCGGGACGGAATTTTTAAATGTTATATTGTTTTGTTTAACTGGTGTTATATCGTTTCACATATCCGGACAAATGACTGGCTTTGATATTTTTTCAATGTAAAATCCAAAAAAAATTAAAAAATAAAAAAAATAAAAATTAGCAAAAAACCAAATTAAAATACATGTCTTTTCTCAGCAACTTCTGAATAGAAACATTATGAAGGTGTTAATGGTTTTTCTTCAAGGTGAATAAAATGGAGAGGCACATAAAGCAAATTCAAAAGGCTTTGGAAGACAAGTACCAAGAAAATATTGAGCTGGAGAAAACAGTGTTTGAGCACCAGACCATGCTGCAGCAGAGTACCACCAGAATTACTGAGTTGGAGGACGTCCAATCAGAACTAGGGAAACAGGTAAGGAATAAATAATGACTAGAGTAATTGAGCTAGGCTAAATATGATTGGTCCAGTCAGAACTAGGGGAACAAGTACTCAGGTAAGACCAGGATAATTGAGTTAGGGTACATGTACATTCAATAGAATTGTTTTTAACAAAGACTTGAAAACCTTGGCATTTTATGAAAAATTTGAAAACTTTTAAAGAAATGGTCAATAGTAAAAAGAAAAATTGCAACTTGATGCTTTTCTGTACTGAAAAAAGATATTTTTGTTCTTAATTGAAGGTTTCTCAACTGGAACATCAGCTGTTAACTCAGAAAGCTCAGGCCATGACTGAGACTCAGATGGCAGAGAAAAAACTCAAACAGGCTTGTGAAGATCTCGAGCACAGGACGGTGACCATTAACAAACTCACTGATGCTCTCAGGTGAGTTTTATGACATAGTCAGCTCCTTCAAAGTCTTTTAAATTGTTGTGATACATTGGTTATGAAAAAATGGATCTTCAATTTAATTACAAGATTTTCCCATGTTGTAGGAGGAATAGAAAATCAATTATATCATACACTGTACTTTAAAGCCTTGTTACATATGCTTCTTCCTTTATTTAAAGTTCATGCCTTCAAATTAGTTTTTTTAACAAAATTTTTTGAAATCTTAACAGAGAGATCAGTAAGAGTATTGCAATTTTTATGAAAGATCTAAATGGAAATGTTAATTGACAATTCTATAGAGAATTAGAGGTGGAGAAAAAGAACATGAATGAAGAAATCAACATGTTGGAGCAGCAACTTCAGGACGAACAGGAGAACAACGACGAGAAGGTCAAGAGGATGTCTAAACTAGAGAAGGACATTAGAGATCTCAGGGTGCAGCTGGAGCAGAAAATAGAGATAGGTTAGTGTACTTCATAGAAAATAGAGATAGGTTAGTGTACTCAACAGAAAATAGAGATAGGTGAGTGTACTTCATAGAAAATAGAGATAGGTGAGAGTGCTTCATAGAAAATAGAGAGGTGAGAGTACTCAATAGAAAATAGAGATAGGTTAGAGATCTCAGGGTGCAACTGGAGCAGAAAATAGAGATAGGTGAGTATATGTAAGAGAAAATAGAGATAGGTTGTGTACTCAACAGAAAATAGAGATAGGTTAGTGAGCTTAACAGGAAATAGAGACAGGTTAGTGAGCTTTTAAAACAAAAAACAGAGGCAGCAGTTACTGTAGATCACTAAATTTTCGCGACACCTTATTTTCGCGAGATAGTCATTGACTCTTGATTAGCGAAATAAAATTTTCACGAACTGCTCTATATAATCTTAAGGAAAATAGAGACAGCGTAATTACAGAATAAAAAGTGATTTACAGTAGAGGTAGGTTAGTGTACTAGACAGAAAATAGAGATAGGTTGATGAACTAAACAGAAAATAGAGATACATTAGTGAACTAAACAGAAAATAGAGAAAGGTTAGAGAGCTCAACAGAAAATAGAGAAAGGTTAGAGAGTATAACAGAAAATAGAGAAAGGTTAGAGAGTTTAACAGAAAATAGAGACAGCAAGTAGAGATAGGTTAGTGAGTTTAATGTACGTTAGAGAAAATAGAGATAGGTTAATGTACATAAGAGAAAATAAAGATACGTTGATGAGCTCAACAGCTAATAGAGATAAGTTATTAAAATTAATAGAGATAAACAAAGTTCAAGGCTATTATTTTTACATTCAAGAAAGCAAGTATATGTTTCAGTCAGTAATATCAGAGATATATGCATGCCCTTTTCTATGATGTATTTTGTGAATTTATTTCCAGTGAATGATTATGAAGATCAAATTCAAAAGAAAACAGAGGACATGGATCAGCAAACACAGTTGGTCAGTGACCTTGACAGTGAGGTCAAAAGGTTACAGGTATGTCAGTGTTGAATTATTGTTAATCTTTTGTAAATCTGGCAATCATTTGTGGGAACTGGTTTTTAGCTCACCTGAGCCGAAGGCTCAAGTGAGCTTTTCTGATCACATTTTGTCCGTCGTCCGTCCGTCTGTCCGTCTGTAAACTTTTCACATTTTCGACTTCTTCTCAAAAACCACTGGGCCAAGAACCAAACTTGGTACAAAGCATCCTTGGGTGAAGGGGAATTTAAATTGTTAAAATGAAGGGCATCAAGAAAAGAAAATAGGTTAGGTCATTAAAAAATCTTCTTCTCAAGAACCACTGGGCCAGTAAAGCTGAAACTTATGTGGAAGCATCCTGGGGTAGTGTAGAGATTGTTCAAATCATGCTATTAAGTTTTAATAGAAATATATAGAAAAATCTTTGAAAATCAAGAACCACAGAAAAGTTCTTATGTGGAAATCCTGGCTATTATTTTTGCATCATGACCCCCAAGAAAGCCACAATGGGGTATATAGTTTTACATAGAAATATATAGGAAAAATCTTTGAAAATCTTCTTCTCAAGAACCACTGGGCCAGAAAATCTGAAACTTATGTGGAAGCATCCTGGTATAGTGTAGATTCTAAGTTGTTCAAATAATGACCCCCGGGGGAAGGGCGGGGCCACAATGGGGAATCAAAGTTTTATATAGAAATATATAGGAAAAATCTTTGAAAATCTTCTTCTCAGGAACCACTGGGCCAAAAAAGCTGAAACATATGTGCCCATGGAAGGATCATGGGATTAGTGTAGATTTCAAAATGTCTAAATTATGATCAGTGGGGTAGGGTGGGGATGCATTATGTATAACAAGGGGGAAATCTGGTAAAGAACAGAATGGTCAAAGCTTCTCAGGTGAGCGATGTGGCCCATGGGCCTCTTGTTAGCAGTTCATCTTCAATTTAGGCCAGAGTGATACTTGTGTAATACGAGGGACGTTCAATAAATAATGTCATTAGCTCGATGACACACAACATAGAAATCATATGACATTAAGGTAGACTTTCTCTCATTATTGAATATTTAATGAATTGATAACAGTTTATGTGACCACTTATCATCACATAGTTTCATCGTGAGAAGCTGGGAAACGGGCTATTCGAGACACTGCATTATAAATGAATGGTAAAGAATCAGTAAACTAGAGTGAAAATAAAAGCTTCATTAAAGCTGCTGTAAAACGTGTTAAAAATCCCAAAGAAATTTTCACTGAAATATGTGACATTTACATCAACCAATGCCTGCTTTATAGACAAATAAGCAAGTGGATTTCAATGATAAAAAATTATATAATGGGCATCAAAAATGGGTACCGTCCTTGCCAACAAACATTATAACAACTTATATACTATTTGCCCAATTTCAACAAATAATATCTGATAATCTATGACTGACTTAAGACACATAGCAAATTTGATATACATCATATCGGGAGTAGTTTACTTTCGGTAAAAAACTTGGCAAAGATCACCCTATATTTTGAAAAATGAGTGAAAACGACAGCGTGTAGGAATGTCTTAACAGTTATTTTAAAATATCAGTAACTGTAGTTATCCAAGTTTGTTTCATATTCAAACAGATAATGGAACATAAATCTATTGCTTAAAACACTCAATACAAAATTTACCATAAGATGTACTTGATAAAAACAGCAATGGTCCGACAAGAGCAGAGGTATTCAAGAACACAAGGACATATTTCTATGCAATTTTCTTAAATATTAGGCCAAGCTTAAAAAATTCTTTGTTTGCAGTTGCCGACCCATAATTTTTAGTCTGGGTAGGTAGGTAGGCATTTTTTTTTTTTTTGAAAAAATAAAATTGCTTCAAGATCTTTGTTAGATAACATAAAATAAAGTTTTTCATAGGCCTACTTTACATGAATAAGCTGCACTCTTGGTATAAACTAATGATTGATGAAGCAAAAATTGAAAATGAAACGGTTTTAATATCCTGAAAAATTGGAGGAAAAAATAATATTACCAAATGTCACAAAAAAAGTTTGGGTCGGGTCCATTTTCAGTGGGTCGGTCGGCAACTGCAAACAAACAATATTTTATTTTAGGCCTTAGTGGTACTGTTGTTCAATTTCATATTCGGGGAGACAGTTTAATTTTTGGAGGAGTCTAGAAAGCAATTTTTTTTACAAAAAAAAAAGGTTTATTTATCAGGAATCCACTACATTAAATTTCTTATGTCAAACCCTGCACCCCTGAAGAGTAAAGGGGTTTTCGGGATAAAAAGAAAGTTATTATTTTTTCACATTAACAATATTCGCTAGATCTTTTACCTTTTGACTTGTTTCTATTTCCAAACTTGAAAAACCACCTTTCAGAAAGAAAAAAATAAGTCCAGGAAATCGTTGGATCTGCTATTTTCCAGTATACTAAGGGTCATACCCAAAAATATCTAAATACAATCAGAAATTAAATAAAAACTTTAATGGCCATCTATTTTAATCAAAAGAGATTAATAAGTAAAATCATGAAGACTAAATCATTAAAAGGGTCTTTTGTGACATTATTTATTATTTATTTGTACATTTCTCGATCTCTATGTTCATTTTGTTTGTGAAAAATGTTGTTTTTGAAAAAACTCATTTAAACTGTGTTATATTGACACCAATTCCAACCAGTATTTAAACAAGATTGAGAAATGTTTGGATCTCTATGTTCATTTTGTTTGTGAAAAATGTTGTTTTTGAAAAAACTCATTTAAACTGTGTTATATTGACACCAATTCCAGCCAGTATTTAAACAAGATTGAGAAATGTTTGGATGTAAATCTGCGTTATATTGACACCAATTCCAGCCAGTATTTAAACAAGATTGAGAAATGTTTGGATGTAAATCTACAGGAAAATGCAAAATTCATTCCATTAAAATGAAATTCAAATCATTATACTGACATGACTTATTTTAGGTGGCTCAGAAACAAGCTATAGAGCAGAGTGAGGACACGGAGAAGAAACTTCAGCGGGTGATTCAGGAGGACCGAGCCAAGGAGGAGATAATTGAGGACATGAAGGACACTCTCAGGTTAGGACAGATTATACAGATTTCTAGGTGTACCCCCTCCAAAATAGTTCCCTCCCCTCTTTTGAGTCAGGTCAGGACAGATTACAGAGATTTCTAGAAATTCTCCCTCCCCAAATCTCCCTCTCCCCTCTTTTAAATCAGGTGAGTGAGGACAGATTACATAGATTTTTAGGCCCCACTCCACAAAACTCCCTATCCCCTCTTTTGAACCTCCGAGAGAAGTGTCAGCTTGAGCAAAGTAATTACTTTATTGAAAAGAAGATTGTTTAACCTTGTACATGTGTGACAGAAAGAAAGAAAACTTAAATTGGAGATACATGTATATGTATACAATGATATTCTGTGTAAAAGTTGCCATTTTTTTTAAGGTTTAATTCAAGAGCCCCCCCACCTCCCTTTTCTTTTTTGTCAGATTAACTTTAATAAATAAATCATCTTTTGGAAATGAATTTTTGAAATGACATCAAACAGCATAAGACTAGACACAATAACCTTGCTTTTTCTAATACACAGGAAAACTCAGGAAGAGCTGAATGAAAAGAGACATGAGGCTTTCAAACTTTCAGAAGCTTTGGAGGACAGGCAGATGGAACTTCATCAAAGAACATCCCAGGTAACCAAATAAAATAGGGATTTAAAAATAACAATTGGTGCATTAACTTCTGTGAAGATTTTAATGTTTCTTCTACTGGATACATGTTTAATTTCATGTAATCATTCTTGCCTGTGGTAGGGTAGTGTTAAGAATATAACAGAAATATAATTTTGTTGATTTATAACACTTCATTTTGTTGATTGATAACACTATTTCAACCATTTTCTGTAGGTGAATGAACTTAGCATGACTGTTAAGGAACAGCACACTGAGATGAAGCAGAGAATTATTACATTAGAAGGTTCACTGAAGAAGTATGAACTGGAAATAGAGGAAAGAACAAAACAGGTGGGTTCTAGTTACATACATGTACATGCACTTATGGGTGTAGATATTATCTGTATGTATTTAAACCTGTTTAAAAAAAGGATGTAAAGTATGCATTACAGATACATGTACATTTCTACAGTTATTTTTTTTGAAATTGTGTGCATTTGTGGGTGCTAAAATTGTCTTTTTTTTTGCTTAAACAATTGAAGAATAGAATTGTCAATTTCATCAACATACATTTTGTGCAATAGAAAGTAGCATTAAATAAATTACATATGCTTTAATCGACATATACACAAAACAGCTTTAATCGACATATACACAAAACAATCTCTGCATAAGATGCAAATAAACAGTAAATTGTCAAAACTGATTAAAAACTACTGGCCCACTTTGTGTACATTGTAATATGAAATCTGATTGAAGGATGACCTGGTTTCTAAGTTGGAAGATGATCTTGACAGTGTCAAAACTGCTATTATATTGGTGACTATATTATCATTAACATGAATGCTTGATTTTTTTGTTTCTTGCATTTTTCAAATTCACAGTTGAAAAATTAAATTTTCTTTTAAATTTCTTGTTTTCATAAATCTGTTTACAAGTACTCAGGGTACATGTAGATAAAAATAGGTCAATCACCATATATTTTATTCTAATAATAATATTATACACATACTAAATTAAGTGAATAATACATGTATTTGAACTGTCATACAAGGGAATTATTCACAAAATTTCATCCAATTGTTTATCCATGATTAAAAGATTTTTTGATTGTATTGCATGAATGGACTGTCAAACTAAAATTGAATTCATACATGTAGTTTGCCTACCCTTTTTTTCAACAATACTTGAAGATTTCCTTCTGATGTACAGTATTTCTGTGTTAAAATTTCTTGACATTTTAAATGACCTCCTTCAGATAGCTGAGCTGGATGACAAGCTCCAGCAGACTCAGGCCAAGCTGTCCGAGATGACCCTCCAGTACCAGCACGCTGACCAGCTGTGTAAGAAACAGAACCTAGAGCTTCAGTCAAAGACAGCCAAACTACAGGAGCTAGAAAAGGTTAGAATCGTGTGATGTCAGGGGAACTATGGTATCAGAAGTATACTTGAGCTATGGTGTCAGAATTAAAATTTAACTATGGTGTCAGAATTACAGTTGAATTATGGTAAATTTAACTATGGTGTCAGAATTACAGTTGAATTATGGTATCAGAATTATAATGGAACTGTGGTATCAGAATTACAGTTGAACTTTGGTATCAAAATTACAGTGGAACTATGGTATCAGAATTGCAGTTTAACTATAGTATGAGAATTACAGTGGAACTATGGTATCAGAATTACATTTGAAAATTACAGTTTAACTATGGTTTAAGAATTGTAGTTGAACTATGGTATCAGAATTACAGTTGAACTATGGAATCAGAATTACAGTTAAAATTTGGTATCAAAATTACAGTTGAAATTTGGTATCAAAATTACAGTTGAACTATGGTTTCGGAATTATAGTTGAACTATGGTATCAAAATTACAGTTGAACCATGGTATCAGAATTACAGTTTAACTTTGGTATCAAAATTACAGTTGAACTATGGTTAGAGAACCATAGCTGAACTATGGTTTCAGAATTATAGTTGAACTGTAATATCAGGATTACAGTTTAACCATGGTATCAGAATTACAGATGAACTATGGTATTAGAATTCCAGTTGAACTATGGTATCAGAATGTTAGAATTCCAGTTGAACTATGGTATCAGAATTACAGTTGAACTATGGTATCAGAATTACAGTTGAACTATGGTTTCAGAATTACAGTTGAACTTTGGTATCAGAATCACAGTTGAACGATGGTGTCTCAAATACCCAGGGTATGGTGAAGTGGGTTAGAAGCCCCAACAACTTTAAATAAGGTCACCTTAATCCCTCAGTCAAACATGTAATTTTAAGTTGATACCTATAACTTGTGTGTTTGATTTTCCAGGCAGTTGACAGACAGCACATGAAACTGGAGGAACAGAAAGATGAGAATGTAGAAGTCACTCAGGAGCTCAGACTCACAAGGTATTATCGTGATTTGTTATGACTTTTTATATTTTGGCTTGAGTATTCAGATAAAAATTAAATGTATATTCTTTTGGATAACTATTTTTAAAATTAAAGAAATGTACAACGATTTATTTTACATTCAATGTTTGACAGAGAGCAGTTACAGCAGCAGCACACAGAATTTATGTCAACAAGACGTCAGCTGGCTCAAGTAAACCGTGAAAATGAACGCCTCACACGAGAGATGGAGGAGATTAACTTAGTCAGACAGGTAAGCTCCAGATTGTGTGTTATCATCATGTAATTCACACAGGGAGCTTCTTGTATTAGACATTGACCATTGTACATTGTTACAAAATTGTAACTGATTCTGCTGTTGAATGTTATGAACACTATCTCTTGAAATGATAGACTGTGAAATGTTTAAGGTTTAACTGAAGTAAACTGAAAAGTATTGCTTTGCATGATAAAAATATTTAGCTTTATGTGTAGACTTTATTAATAAAGACTGCATTAGTGAACATAATTATTTTATTGACTGGTTTATTCATGAAATATTATTCCCTGTTTTACGTAGACAAGAGAGACAGATACGGCTCGCCTAGAGGAAGAACTTGGGGCCACAAAAGCTCGCGAGATACAGGCCGAGACTAAACTGAACGCTGAGATCAGACTCAGGAATGAAGAGATGGAAAGAGTCAGAGAGGAGCATCAAGTTCTGGTAAGGGAATGTTGATAATTTACACTTATCTTGTTTGCTAAAATGTATTTTGTAGCAAATGTTCATGAGGACATTTATAATGTACATAAGTAATGTAACTTGAAACTATGTTCATAGAAAAAGATTTGGGTGGGAAGGACAGATTATCCGCCTTTTGTTCAACAGAAATCTTGGCCACATTTATCAAAAAAGCTACAACAGACATTTTATTCAAACAATATTAAGGTCAAGGCAGACAATGGCTTCAAAGTTCATAAACTGTGAAACAGTTTGCTGCTACTGAGAGAATGTCATATCACATACACTGTCAAAATGATTTCTGTGAAGAAAGTCCTGTGAAGTGTTACATGTATGCATGCTTTTTTAATACATATGTTGAATCTCCAAAATGTATTGGTGCACAAATTTTGAAAAAGGGAAGTTCATTACTAAGTAATTTTAATACACCAACAACATTAAAGTGTCATGAGCCTGCTGTTTTTGTGTGTTTTAGGTGGACGAATTGCAGCGCTCTATCAGTCACCTGAGTGAAGACAAGGAGAAGATGGAGAGAGAGCTGGAGAAGAAGATGATTCAGATAAAGGAGCTGGAGATCCATTACCAGGCTCAGTTTGACCTCCTACAGAAGGAGCTAGAGAATATACAGGGGGAGATGATAGCCAAGAAAGAGCTGGCCACGGTGGCTAACGAATCTCTGATTCTGAAGGTTGGTGTACACAGGGGGAAAGGTGTATGCTGTGACATATGGAACCTTTTGATTTAAAACGATTCTAAAGTGGGAGTAAGTGCATCTGATTCAAGATGAAAGTACGGTTTTGGCTTTATGGCGCCCTAAAAATTAAATGTTCTTAAAAAGTTATGAAATTGGCTTTATAAATAGTTGAGTAGATGAATATGATAAATCATTAAAGAATATGGCATGAAGGTGGTCCATTCTATATATATGAGGTCATTAATTTGGTACATTTCTAAGTTTGTTGCAGAAAAGCCTCAGAATGACTCATTTCTGTGCTTATTTTCCTTTAGAAAATAGTGTCTGCCACCAGCGGCCACGACAGTTTTTGGATATATTATGTAAAAGGCTTTGAAAAATCACACGTCTCAAAATCGTTTTGGGCGACGGTGGCAGAGTATGTTTTCTGAAAGAAAATTCCACTGAAAATTGATGTCTACTGCAACTTCTAAAGAAAATACGGAAAAATGCACAAGTTAATGACATCACAATTAGCATTTAGGAGGTGATATGAGAAAAACGATTTGTATATTCTTACTGCATGGAATTCCTATGATTCAGAAAGAAAAAAATTTAATTTCTCATATCACTTTCATATAAAAGAAAAAATACAGGGCATAATTTGTATTGAAACTGTACCTTCTTCTTTATTTGTAAGCACATTTTTGTGTGGTGGATTCATGTACAGTATAGCAGGATTTCTTGGCTAGTGATATTTTGCTTGCTTGAAGATATGCCAATATTTTTGGCATAATTTATTTCAGAAGTCACAGGGTTCCAGCACTTTGTAAAAGAACATTTAGAAGGATACTTTATATTTTGTTACTGTTTTCAAGCTGAATAATTTGTTCTCTGTACATTACAGGATTCTGAAATAACCAGGTTAAGGACTAAAATCTCAGGACTGGAAAGGACAATAGCTTCTATGAACATGTCCAATAATTACGAATCTGTGTATCAGAGTTCAGTGCTTGGTGCAGAGGTTGTGAAGCGTCGACATGGGTCAGAAAATACCAGTGAGGTGGATTCTCAGGAATCGCGCAGTGCTCCTGTCTCCCCCGCCGCCAGGAGGAAAATTCTGAAGGAGCCATTTTCCACTGCAGGAAAGCTCCATGGAGAATTTCATGAACCTGAAGACGAAAGTGCCCTCTACGTGTTGCCAGTGGCAAAAGATAGCAAGTCTGCCGAATCAAAACGAAATCAACAGGTCCATTTTAAAGATGGAGACATTGATGAATTCGATGAAGTGTTAAACGAAGAGGAAGAGAAGTGGAGGAAATCGAATCTTATGAAGAACAGTGCTGTGTGTAAAGGTCTGCTGAGGAGTAAAGGTGTGCCCCGTGCTAGTGAGAAAATGAATGCCAAAGACTTCCGTAATCTGGCTGCCCAGAGAGGCAGAGGAAGAAGGTCGGATCATTTGCCTGGAGAATTTGAAATAGGTAGGATTAACTTGTATAAGTGTACAAATTTGAAATTCATTTACTGATATTTTTTTCTGAATACTGTAAAACGATAAAATTTGGCGCAGACATATTTTAGCGCAAACGCAAGTGGGAATGCATTGGCGCAAATAAATTTTAGCGCTTGCACTTGTCAGTAAAATATATAAATATGATTTTTTTTTTATCAACACCCGTATTTGACTTTTTGGTTAGTCACGCACGGAAACACAATAGTACTCCCGTATACCAGTTAACATTCGTTACCTTTACCGCGGTACGTGTTGCTATCACATGGACGTGGTACAATGTTAAAATTTATTTCTATTTTCAATTAAAAGAAATTGAGTATTTACTCATTTAATTTACATTAAATCAATGCATGCATCGACAGAAAATTACTTAGATAAAACGGTAATCCTAATCAGGTATTGTCTGCAAGTTCAATGGCCATGCTTGATTGCATTGTTTACCTCGAGGCGATAGATGATTGACACGCCGAGAAGCCAAGCTTTGAAGGTGCTAATGATAATAATCGGGTAACAACTACCGGGGTAACAATGGTTTAATTAAAATTATAATTTGGCAGAACTTTCTGTCTTCCGAACATGTGCAGTGCTAGTGTGTATGTAAAATCCAATGACCCTTCGACATTGCGTAATCGTGCGTCCCGGTTTACATGTACTTATGTAAAAGCTTTGAACATTCACAAAAAATGATATTTAGAAATCCTTTAGCGCACAATAAATTTTAGCGCTCAGGGGCTCTTGCGCCAAAGGCGCTAAAATTAGTAGTGCGCCAAATATTCTCGTTTTACAGTATATGAAATGGGGAAACAATATCTGATAATTATTGGATATTTTGAAAGCTGAATATTAATACTCTGCTATAATGCCACCTAGAGGGATGTGTTTTCCGTATATTGATTGATGATATCAAATAAAAACTGAAGGGCTTTATTATGTGAATTAAAGAATATTGACATGAATGGTTCCAAAATGTTTTGGGATGTTCATTGAATATTAATTGAACTTTAATGAATACTGTTTTATAGTGGATCAGAGAACAAATTGTGCTTAACCTGTAACTTGGTATTGTTTTTTCTTACAGAGCCAATGACAGCTGTAAGGATGTACAAGAGTCCACAGTACTCAGATCAAGCTAGAACTGACACAGATCCTGCTCAAGGGTAAGTAACTCAAGTTCAAGTCATCAACCAGGTTAGGAAAAGTTCAATGGAAAAATTTCACTTGTTTAACTTGGAAACACTTTATTTTACCAAGGTATATTTGTAAAGTGTCATGAAAAGAACTTGTTTCTCAAATTTGAAAAATCTATAGGCACCTTTCATTTACTAGATCTTGACCTTAACATTGGAGTTTATAAGAGGTACTATAGAACTTGGTTACAGTGAAACACAAATGTAATGAATTCATGCTTACAGTAACACAATTTTCATTCTGTATGGTTTATAAATTAATATGTTTTATGGTGTGACCTTTGGGGGGAGCGCAGTTGTACCATCAAAAACACCCTTTAATTGTACTTGAAACACTGATCAGCCACCAAGTCACATCTTAAATAGCTGTGACGTTACATGATGTAACGGAGCTTGTTCGAGCTTACATAGACAGCCTAGCATCTGGTTGAAACTGTAGACCTAGTACAAGTTTTGATGAAATACAAATTGTAAAGTATTTTCTTGTTCCTTTTAAGATTTCTACAAATGAAAGCCTATTATTTTTATATTATTTATTTATTCATTATCGCATGGATTCCTGGTAGCAAAGGAATTCTGGGAAGGTTTCCTGATGTATGTACAGAATTCATTCCAAATTTCCTCTGCTCTTACACGTTAGTCTATTGAGCTTGCTTTGCTAGCAGCGCAAAGTGTTGATTTGCTATTAAAAACTAATTATGTTTTTATTGAACTAAAATTATTCATCCCTTACATTTTGCTGTACTTTTTTATCCAAATATTTATACTAAAGTCTGATGTTGAACACCACTGTCAGAGAATAAGAACCTTAAGTCAGTATTACATACTGTATGTATGTCTGTACACTGACTTGATTTATTTTTGTTTTCAGGATCTATGAACTTCAGGAAAGATTAAGAGCTAATGAACTCAGACAACAGCTGATTGATCAACAATTAAAAAACATTGACGAAGGTGCTATTTGTTCCTAGTAGAGACTATAGATCCTAGATAACTCTTATTACCAAAGATATTTCATCATAATTACAAGGTGCCTTCATGCATTTACTGTGGCTACATTCTTGGCATTTGAAGTGAAATTTGCTTTGGATTGATCATTGAAGGTAATGGGCAAGAAATACTGTGTGTAATGAAATATCGGTTGTACTTTTATGCTGTTTATCAAACCATATATCGAAATCCAGTAATGTATATGTATTGATAGTACATATGAATGCAACTGATAGTAAATATTGTCTTGTTCAAAGAATCTGTGATGCAACATTAAAGTTTGTCATACTTAAGAGTAAGAACACTTAGATCTGTAGTTTTGGTGCACATTTTTCATTCTGAGACATTGAGATCTGATGACCAATATTTATTTTTTATTTTATATCTGTTAGACTGTTTGTCCATGTATGTACTATTACATAGTGTTCTATATTGTTGATACGTGTATGTATGAATTTTTAAAGAACCAAAATACAGATGATTTTACAACAACACTATTGTGCTTCTGTGTATATTTTCACACGTCAACAAATCTTACATGAAAATATTTTTTGTTCAGTAAAAACAAGTTGCAGAGATGATTCGCAACTTCTAAAAGGCTTAGAAATATTTCTATATGTCAAGTTTCATATGTCTGTATTCTTAGCTCTACCAGCTCTTTTTCCTCTGCCGAGACCTTTTCCGCATCTCAATGTGTTGTCTTATGTGAATCAATAGTTGACAGTGGAAAACTTAGTTTTGAAATTCTTTGAAAATAAACATCTACAATAGGCTTTCATTATTTCAACACACACAATTTTTAAAACACTTGATATCCATTACAAATATAAAAAAAAATCTGTCAAGTTGTTCCTGAAAACTGCATATAGCATTAAAAATAAAAAAAAGAGTTAGTATTGTCTTTTGATTAAAAATAATTATTAAATTATAAATACTGATCAAAATATAAAATATTTTATTTAATTAAAAATGATTTTTTTTTTAAAAAAATTCTGCAAATAATTCTCAATGATTTCCGAGAACACTAGAGGTTGCTAAAAAGGAGCTTTTTTCCTGCTTTGATGATGTGAAGAGATAAAATACTTTTTGCAATATCTGTCTGTCTGTTTGCAAAAACTTAACCTTGCCTATAACTTCTGACTGGGTGAGGATATATAGCTTTCATTTATCAAAGGTGTATTTCTTGTAAAGACTTTTCTTCAGGTACCACCAAATTTGACCTCTTGACCTTGGAGTTTGACCCATTTTTACAAAAAATCAAACTTTAACCTTGGCCATAACTTCTGAACAGTTGGTGATAGGGCTTTCTTACCTCACATGGGTATTCATTTTGACAAGACCTTTCAAGGGGTATAAATAGAGTTTGACCCACTTCTTAAAAAACATTACCCTTGGCCATAACTTTTGAACAGTTAGTACTGGCAGGAGCTTTCATATTTTACAGGTGTATTCCTTATTATAAGACCTTTCTCTGGATACAAACAATTTTGACCTTTACCATGGATTTATTTTTTTTTCACTTTCATTTGAAAAACTTCAGTCCTCGCCATAAGCTACAATACAGGGACATGTGTTTCACAAACACTTCTTGGTTTTTTTTCTGTAATACTCACGAATTTAGAATAGATTTAAGAAGAGAAATATCCCTCTAAAAGTTAGGCCAAGGTTAAAGTTTTTAAAAGTAGGTCAAATCCAAAGTTGTTGGTATCCTATGGAAGGTCTTGTCACAAGTATTAAACATATGTGAAGTATATGAAGCCAAAGGATATTGTCAAGGTCAAAGTTAAGTAAATTTTTGCAAAACTGGGTCAGACTCCAAGGTAAAGCTTAAGGTCAAAAGTCAAATTTGATGATTCCCTTTGAAAGGTCTTGTCACAAGGAATACATATGAAATACTATACTGACACGCAAAATAAACGCAACAAGTAGTAATCTACAAATGTTTGTTTGTTTTTTTTTTTATCTGATGATTATCAAAAGCGAATAAAGTAAGGCTAAACTCACTTTTCAGAACATCAGAGATTTGATAAAAATGTTAAATTTTATCTGTTTACTTTACTAAGTAAAATATGACTGTTAACCCCCCCCCCCCCCCTTCCCAGCCATTCAAGTAAAACGTGCAAGACTGCCCTAAACAACAATTGCAGCTTAATTTCTACGATACAATATGTGCATTAATATCGAGATCTGAGCGAAGGAATTATTCTCTGGCATTTTTAAATGCCCATTATTCAGATGATTAGGTCGAATTTTCTCTAACTTAGAGCAGTGTAGCCGCCCTTGGACTTCCGGCACAAGGACTGTCCTTACTGCATATGATACACAAGACCCTGTTGAGGCGTAATGTTGTGAAATTTCGCATCAGCAATTCTCCATCACCTTTACATTGAAATTTTCCAGCCAGAGCAATGGAAATGCGTACATAAGCCATTTTCAAGTAGCCTTAGCATCGTTACGGGAAACGAAAGAAGAGTTTATTTTTTGAAATATTGCTGCATTACATCTGATGAACAGTAAAAAACCCTTAAGACTCCATAAAATTGCCAAATGTTTTGTTAAACATGCAATTTTTGATTTCTGTTAAGCAGACTAAAACTTGACTTCCGGTTATGGTTTGGAAATTATTCAACCGTTAAATTAACCACTCGAAAGTTACAGGTAAGGTTCCAGTTTTTGCGGACAACAAAACAGATTAACAAACAAGCAGACAGATTTAATTACAGGGGCATTATGAACCCAATATTTTCAAAAGTAATCCATATGTACCTGGTATTTGATCAACCTAATGTAATAAGGTTTTAAAAATCTCTGTTGTTGATATCGTTGACACTGTTTTTTTCCCGAAATGTTTAACGATCCAAAACAACAGATAAAGAGATCCCTCTTCTTTCATTATAATTGTTTAACCATACGATGTGAGGTGTGTGGTATTAATGTTATTGATATATTTTGACTATTATTCTTCATCATAAAGAACTCATCAAGAAACATATAAATTAAAACACCTATATAAAAAGCAGCATTGTTTATCGAGCATAAAAGCTTGACATAGTTTTTAATCATTTAAAGTTCACAAGATTTTCAAAGTTTATTTTTAGCAAACGAAAATACCCAGGTAATATGCTTTTGTCGTTAAATACCTACCATGATACAGTCAATTTCCCCCTAAACTATAAGTTCATCTGCTCACGAAAGGATCGTGGAAGAGATGTCTTTTCTGTTAGATGGGTGTGAAAGTCTTTTCGAATCTAAAGAATGTATTGGCATAAGGAGGGAAATTAATGATTTTTGGTTTGATTTGATATGTATGACAAAGCCATACAAACGTATACCTATTGGAAGTCATGGTGATGGTATACTCTTTAATGCTGGACAAAATGATGAAGTATTCCTTCTTGAAAACACAATAGTTTTGCAAAATGGCGAATCCAAACTCTCCGGGATTGTTAATTTCTTGGCAAAAGAAACCTACAGCTCTCCAGGATTTTGTCGTCTGCAACCCCTTCCTGGATTAAAATTTCAGAATAATATTTGTATGAAAGAAAGTGGAGTTAATTTCCTATCGAGTGAAAAGTTCATCAAAATGTGTTTAGAACTTTCAGGGAGAAATTCCAATGCAGAGGGTCCTTTTATTAAAACTGATGGTTTAAGACTGGCTTATGGTTTACCATTTAAATCTTGGCCAGAATGTGCCAAGGAATGGTTGCATCGAGAGAGACCGCGTTGCTGGCCCTCTGAAACTCTAGTGTCTAAAATAAAGGACACAGCTTGCTACTGTGAAGCCATAGCAAATGAGCAATCACCACGTCCTGGCCTGGAATGGAGAATTTCGTTTGCAGTTGTGGAGACTCTGTTGATTAGATCAATGGATAGTACGATTTTTAAGCTGTATCAGATCTTAAAGATTCTTGCCAGAGAAAAAATTAATACAGAGGCGGGATGCCAAAATATAATTTCGCCCTATGTGATCAGAAATACGCTGTACTGGGTATGCGAAAACGGGCTTCCAAATATTATCAGCGAAAGTAATTTTGAGTTTTGTCTGCACATCTTCATCAATCAGCTTGAGAAATGGATTAAAGACAATTTCTGTCCACATTATTTTGTTCCCAAAAGAAATATTTTCGAAGCTACTGTTTCGCCTAATGGTAAGGCTTGCCTTTTGGAATGTTTAACTGACATTAAAAGTAATATATTTTCAACTCTTTTAGAATTACCGTCATTTGAAAGACTAAAATTGGACTACGAAGAAGGAAATGTTATAACATTGCCTTCTCCTGAGGAAATTAAGCTTTATAAGGAAATTTCAGTATTCCACTACGCTTCCGGAATCTCCTACTGTGTCCTTCACAGCAAGTATGCTTTTGAAATTTTGGAAAATATGGAAACAATGTTTGCTGCAAACTTGCAGGAATTCTCGGAAATGCAAATATCATTTCTGAAAATTCTATATTATCCTCTTGCAAAAGCAACTGGTACCATTCTCTACAAAAGTGTTTTAAAATCGACCAATAACAAATCCATGTACTGTGGAATCAGATTAAGCAGAAATCTTTCAATACTCGGCATCAAAACTGACATCACTTCCGGACGTTTGTCACTATCAACGTTTCATTATCTTTGTGGACAATATGATTTATGCATTGAGTTAACGGACTCCGTTTTGAGAAAAATTAAACCTTTTGCTGTTTACAACAGAAAAGATTTTGGTATAATGCAAGGAAATGATCGTTTGAAAGCTTATTCCGAAGTTATACTTAATGCATCAATACCTCTGGACAAGAAAATGCACAGAGCATTTTGGACTGACTTTGAGGTCTTTAAGGAGGCACCTGTTATTCCGTCATGTTTATATTTAGAAAATGAGTTTTCTCCTGATCCTCCTGTAGCAATTTCCCTACCAGCATTAGTTTATGTCCATTTTCTCCGCTTTCTTTCGTTCCATGAGATGGAAAATGAAAGTGAAATGCATTCCAGCCTGTCAGATTTGCGGGTCTTATCTTATGATGAAGAACATGGAGGAAATTTATGCCTCGCCTTAAACATGTTTGGTATTTGTGAAATGATAAGTGGGAATATACCAATGGCTATTAAATACTTTGGTCAGTCTGCATTAAGTTCAAAACGGGCCAATAATTTATACCACGATAATATAGGGTTATGGAGAATTGCCCTTCTTCTGAACTCCCGAGTCAATATGTGTCGGTTATAAATTGAATAGTTGGGAAAATAGACGTTTCATTTAGCAGAAGACTCGTATATCTTTTGATTTGAATTCTATAAATATTTTTCTTAAGTTGTTGACGAAATTCTTAATCTGTCGTTTATTCATTTAAGCCAACTGGAGTGATGATTGATAAAATTGCGCATCAAGCAATTTCAAAAAATGCAGCAAATCTAGTGCCTGAAAGTAACTAGTGTTAGTGAAATGTTTATTATATTACCATTTCTTGTCTTATTTATTAGTACTAGTAAAATGCAAGTTTTTTTCTTCATGTGATATTAATTTTTTGATAAAAAATGTGTTGTTGAATGATTAATCTAATTTGTTTTCAAAGTGTAATGCAATGTATCGTGCTAATAAACAATGAATATAGGATATTTTTTGGACAATTTTTAAGACAGTATTTATAATTTTGAAATATTTCACAAAATGATAATAGTTCAATCCCCTTTTCAAATAAATCTCATTATCTTTCAATTGCCTTTCTTATCAACAATCCACAAATACGAAAATGAAATCATTATAGATAAGTTTAATTAAATTGATAAATTTTTAACACATATAAGAATGAGAATGAATACAATATCTTTTTAATTAAAGTGCAGAAACATATATGGATCGATTTTAATTATCTATGTCACGATTTTCCCGTAAAGTAAAATGGAGAAAGTAACATTGAATTGTAAATCTCCCAGAAGGAAGTTTCAGCTCTCCAAGAATTTGTCGTCCGTATAGTCTGCACCTCTACTTGGATTAACATTTAAGAATGATATAATTATTCCTATTAAAGGAAACACTCTCAAAATATTTGTTAAAAAAAGTTTATAAACTTCTGTCTTCAATTTTCAAGGTTTGTTTTTTTTTTTTTAAAGATTTTTTTTATCAGGACAAATGGTATTAGTCTAGATTAAATGTTACCGTTCAAAGCACGGCCATAATGTGCCAAGGAATGGTTGATCCGGAAGAGACCACGTTAAGGGTTCTCTGCATCTCGTCAGAAATAATTTTAAAGAAAACAGCTTATAATTATATTGTGAACCCATGGTTTATGATCGTTTAGATCTACAACATCCTGGTATGGATTGGCGAATATATTTTTCAGTTGCACCTGATAGAGACTCGGTTGATTAAAAAAAATCAGATTTCTCCACATAAAAAAAATATAAGTTCATGCTTTGTGATCCGAAGTACTATAGACCTGTATTGGGTTTGTGAAAACGGGCTTCCAAACATTATTAGCAAGGATGAAATCGAACTTAATCTGTTAATTTCCAAAAGCAAAGTTGAAAAATTGTGTTAAAGACGATTTCTGTAATTCGTTCATAAAAGAAGTGTTTTCAAAGCTTGTGTTTTCTCTCGTAAAGGTTGTTTTTTGAAATGGTTCGGTGATACAAAAAAATGTAAAGAGCATGTTTGTGCAACTTTGAGATCTTTTTTAAAGAAGGCATCAGTTATGGCATCACATTTATATTGATAAAAATCAATTTCACCTTTATACCACAAAAGATTTCTTTTTCCTAGCACTTGAAGTAAAAAATGAATGAGAAAAACATTCTGCGTTTGGAGATTTGTGAGCTATATCATATATGATGAATACACAGGAGATTCATTATTCGCCTTTTACATAGTTCGTATATGTTAAAACGTGGCAAAATTCCAATGGTTGATAGATACCTTTGAGAATCTGGTATTTTAAAGCAAAGAAAAAATCGCTTATTTGATGAGTATTGTGTAGATGCTGAAGCTGTGGGAGTCATTTCACCAATTTTTTTTTTTTAAGTTTTGTATTTGTTACTCCTAATATTGTGATTTCTCTTAAAATACTTTTCCATCGTAAGAGCACAAAAAGCAAAGTCTGTGTAAGTTTTAAATGGCAACAAATTAAGACAGTGTACATAAAAATATTCCTAAACAGTAATGATATAAAAGCATCTTTTAGATTTTAATGCACAATGTCTGAACAATTGGGCATCAGACAGATATCATTAACAAGCTGACATTTTCTAACCAACAAGATGTTGTCCATGTCCATGAAGGTGAGCATTAGCAACCAGTGTCTGAAATAATAATTAATATTAAATAATAACAGAGACATAAGATATACTAGTATATGATTAATATCTCATGCTGTATTTTCAATCATTTTTGCGAAAATGAACATAACACATGATTATAATTCATTTATTAATTCATCTTTTTGCAGTTTTCCATTTTAAATGTTAATTTCGGCATTCTATGGATTTAGAAGCAAAACTGCATCATTTAGGGATACATTAAATGTATTTGTAAGCCATTAAACTGAATTTTTAGAATCTTCGGGCATTAAGAATACAACAATAAAATCTGTTTTTTATACAATTAACAAATTAGATGAAAACTGATTACCAACCTGGTGCCAAAATGAGAAGAAATCAGCTTTGCTTACTGTGCCGTCACCTGTGAAATTATAATGAAACAGATTTTTTTTTATTTGAGCAGTGATTTAGGTGTAAGGAAAAAGAATTTTTTAGTTAAAAAAAGAATAATTGTTTGGAAGGATAGAAGTTTTAAAGGCGTTTTTTAAAAAGATTTATGCAAAAATTGAAGAATATATATTCTGGTTCCCATTCCATATGGTTAAGATAATTACAATATTGCTCAACATAAATTATGAGGAGATACAACATGAATTACTCAAAATGTGAAATCAATATATTCAGATCCCCCATTCATCTTCTGGATCGATGTCTATTTCTTTCTGAATAAAGCCTCTGCACTTCTATCAATTATGTGGTTATATGACTAAGTCCAATCTTGTTAAAATAGCTCTTCCATTCGCTCCCCGATGTTCCTCGCGACATAAAACAAATCGGGGAATAAATGGAATATCTGATTTTAATAACATGAATAAGACGGTTCCAAATCTAATTCGTCAACATTTCACAATGTTACTACCATCCATATCCATTTTGGCGTAAAGAGCGTCAAAATCTGCAAGTCTCAGATGATGGTCACCGTTGGCATCGTAGATATCATAGAGCGCATGCGCATAACTTAGCAGATCTGGAGCTTGCGACCCGATGAAGGTAGTGTACTCATGACGAGTTATTTGTCCATCCCCTGAAATGTCATTAATTATCTGAGATTATATGACTACCGCTGAATGGTTAAATTTTAGTTGTTATTTCAAACAAAAGCATCTATTAATGTAAATCTTTGTTAAAAATCAACAGTATATAGCAATTTATATTTGATGAAATAATATAATAGAATTTGCTCGACTTACTGTTGGTATCGTAGTGAGCAAATACGTCATGAAGTTCCACCATTGAGAAGACGTCATTGTTGTCATAGTTACTAGCTGTCCAGAGTTCCTGTATATGCTGCTGATATTGAGGTTCCGTTAACTCACTATGCCCATGTCCGTGATTCTGACTGTACGTGGAATCAAAATCTACATTTAAGGACATACGCTACATAGTTTTAACTTTATTGTATTTTCCCCTGGAGTTGAAGAGTTCAAATACTTGAAGGAACTGTGTGCTACATATTTTATTGTCTATATAAGTATGCTGTTGTACACTTGCTTTGAATCAAGTTTGGATAAATAAAACGTCGGGAATGTTTTTGCTTAGTAATTTCTATAAATTTTTCTTTAACTTTTACAATTTTCATTAGTTGATATCTTTTCAAAACCCCTGGTAATGCATGCTGATTTTTTATCTACGGAAATTTGATGGCGCTGAAATCTAAATTAGAAATATCCTGAAAAATTTTCAGTAGATAAGGTATGTTGCCTAAGTCCTTAATTGTTGTTGACGATTAAGAAATCGGTTTCACAGTCAAAAGATTTATTCATGAAATTAATTTGCAGTATCTTAATTTGCTTTTAAAATCGGTGACAGTTACAAAAGCTACGACCTTAACTTAGAGAACATCTTAGATAAGATTGGATCATCACTGATATCGTTTTACTTGACATACTTTGCCCATTATATGTTAGTACTATTTGAGGCTGCTTTTAAATGAAATCATTCGGCTCACCTCGGCTGACTATAGTACCTACATGTACATCATTAATTCAAATTTTGATGTAATCGGCTGAGGTGTGCCGGATGAAATAATAAAACAATTCAGTATGACTATCTATCTTTGATAATAATTATGTTGAATTGCAGACATTCACATTCACAACTACAATAGTACATGTAATATTTGATATGTGAAATTGATAGACATTTACAAAGAAAGTCCCTTTTTATATATATTAAAGAAATTTTTTATTGAGTTTAATATGCTAACATAAATGAATGTTGAATAAAAGTATTTGCAGCTGATGCAAAATAGAGGTATAATTTTTCAGACGGTTGATTTAAAAGCTTGACGTACCTGAAAACAGTCGCGCGTGTCACAAGAACCAACAGCACGATAGAATTCATGGTCATATGTGATGTTTCTCATTAGACTTGTCATAAATACCGATAAAACGTGAGAAGGTTTTACAGTCTTTGGTATATTCTTGACTCCTATATCAGCTAGATCAGCCTTTGATCAGTAAATTTTGAAAATTGAGTAAATATTTCCATCAGCATAGAAGAAGACACAGGGAGTTGCTTTTGGGATGGGAATGAAAATATTTCAGAGACTTGAGGTCTGATTGTCACCGGTAGGTTCATGGCGAAGCCTTGGTTATTGACAGGGGGCAAAGTCTCTGGGAGTCATACATTGAAATAACGAAGAGTATATTCAAGCTCAAATGTCCATTTAAACAAAAAATACACGAACTTCTAAAGCATCAGAGGTGGGATCAGGTGCTATGGAGGAGTGAGCATCCTCTACCGACCGATCTCACCCACTGTGAACTCTTTGTCATGATTGAAAAAAAAAACAAAAACGGAAAAATCCATATGCAAATCAGTGTGTAAACTAGAGGTACCGTGAGCATTGAGCTCACTAAATAATATCCATGCCTACATATGATTATAATGATTGATTGATTGTATGTTGTTTTACGTCCCATTTGAAATCTTTTTGACTCATTTAGAGACGTCACTAAATCTGGACGAAGGACTTCAAATTTTGACCTTTACTTGGCACTCAGTTTCTTTCAGCAGTGACAGATCTTTAACGTGCCAACGTCTGCCGTGGCTTTGGGCCTCAGTTTTTAATGCATTTAATGTATCCTCTGAAGGGTCCCTAATTTTCACTTCAAAGTGCCGAGTACATGGCTAAAGAACCTTGATACTCATTATTGTTATGGAATAAAAATGATTATAATGGCAAAGTCCATGCCTTACTCTAGGATACACGAAATAAATGTCTGATCAAAAAGTTAAATAGGAGGTACACAGTGGCATTTTCTAATAAAGATTTAGGTGTATAAGAGAAGTTGCAGATAGAGATGTGTACCCTACAATGTTATAGAAAGAATATCAGTGTTTTGATTTGGGAAACCCAGAATATGTGTCTGATCAAAATGTAAAATAGGAGGTTAGAACGGCACATGAAACAAGATTCTGTGAAAGTACTATTATCATTCAATAGCATTCATTGATATAAGAATACTTGCGCGAATCCCCAACATTACCCCCCCCCCTACTTTTCAAGCAAGGGGGGGGGGGTATTGTATGAAAAACGTCCATCAACATTTGACTTAATTGTTGTATACATGTATTTGCCGACAGCATTGTATTGTAGCTTGCGTCCAAGGGTGACAACCCTATAAGAGGAGTTTTGGATAGGAAATGGGCATCCCAAGGCGTAATAGAAGGACGGACAGACATCACGATCTTTTCAAGCTGTGGGGGTATAATAACGCATCAGATCCACTTAGTTTTATACATTAAATAACCTATGTTTTGCTTTGGAATATTTGGGGAACCCGTAATGAGTGTCAGATCAAAACTTTTATAGGGGTGCACAATGTCATAATTTAGTGGAAAAAACTGTGCAATTATCATTAAATTCCATTCAAATGTAGAGGAGGAGTTGCAGATAGAAAAAAAAATGGCAGTGCATGTGCATGTTTTGCAATTGGAAACCCAAAATAGGTGCCCGATCAAAAAATAAAACAGGAGGTGCACAAGTTACTATATATCAATCACTATAACAAAGATTGTGTGAAAGACTCATTAAATTTCATTTAAAAAAATCTTTATATTGTTGTGATTTTTCATTGCTATTTGATATCGTTAGAGCACAAAAAGGCAATGTTCAGGTAAGTTTACAACGATCGTTTAACAAAATGTGCATTAAGGTTTCGTCAAAGGTCAACATTTCCAAAAATTTATTTTTACAATAGCCCCAAAACTATGTGAGGTATAAAGTTGAAACTTTTACAGTTTATGATTTTTTTTTATTGATGAACAGATATCATTTGATAAAAAAAAATACTTGGAATAATACTAATTGAGAAAAATTCTTCTTAAAAATGCACATATTTTCAAAAAAATACACCTAATTAATTCCATGCTCTTCGTGAAAACTATCATTGCAGAAACAAAATATGTTTATCAATGAAGGGCAAGTTGGACTTGGATAACCTCTGGAAAGTTGTTTTCCCTGTTTATTTTGTCCAAATGTTAAGACTTGAACGTGAAAGTACATTGTAAATGGCGGATTCTATAGGGGTCTTGTCTTTATACATGTCATGCTTTCAATAACAGCCTTTCAGAGACCATTTGCCTCCAACTTGCCCTTCAATGATAAACATATATCATTTATACAATGTTGGTTTTCAAAAAAGGACAGAATGAAGCAGGTGCATTTTTCTTTAAATATGCACATTTTCTGATACAATTTTTCTCAAAATTTTTTTTTAAAATATTTGTTATCAAGTGATACTTCCTATCTATTAATCAATGATATATTCATAAAAAGTAAACATTTTGACTTTATACCACATATAGCTTTGGAGCTATTGTAAAATATTTTTTTAAACATGTTGACCTTTGATGAAACCTTAAAATAGATATCAATAATACAAAACCAACTTTTAGATTTTAATGTACAATGCTTGAACAATTATTGGGCAACAGAAAGATAATCATTAACAAGCTGACGATTTCTAACCAACAAGATGTTGACCATGTCCGTGGAGGTGAGCATGAGCGACCAATGTCTGAAATAATAAATAATATTAAATAATGAGAGAGATATAAGATATACTAGTACATAATTAATATCTAATGCTGTACATGTTCGAGCTTTTCAATTATTTTTGCGAAAATACACATTGACACATATGTTTATAATTCATTTAAGGATACTTCTTTTTGCAGTTTTCTTTTTTTTTAATGACAAATTTCGACATTCTATTGTAAACATCCCCTCTCTATGGATTTAGAAGCAGAGCTGCATCAACTGGGATACATGAAATGTATTTGTAAGCCATTCAACTAGATATTTAGAATCTTTGAGCATTAGGAATACAACAGTGAAATCTGTTGTATTCTACAATTAACAAAATAATAAAAACTAATTACCAACCTGGTGCCAAAATGCGAAGAAATCAGCCTTGCTTACCGTACCATCACCTGTGAAATTCGACGAAACAAAAATTTCAATGTGAGCAGTTTTTTACGTGCAAGATAAAAGAATGTTATACTGAAAAAAAGAAATGGAATATTTAGAAGATAATACATGTATGTTTTAATGAAAATCAAATGTACACATGTAGTTATTTTTAAGATTTCAATGGCAAAAAATAAAAAGATTGCATTCTGTTTTCTCTTCCATTAATTCAGATAATCACAATATTTTTACTTGACATAAAGTTCATGAGGAATCACAATGTGAATTTACATGAATACGCATGCAACATATTCATAGCAGTAACAATTGTACCTTTACTATTATTTTATCAAATGTAAATACATGTACATGCTTTAAGATATAAAATCCAACCTTTCAGAATTTAACCACAGTATACAAATATAGAGAAAACTCCAAAACCCCAGACCAACGAAAATGGCGCAAACTATTTCTGAATAAAGACACTTTACTTCATTAAATCAAATATGTGGTGGCATGTCTAGATCCTATCTTAATGAAATTAGATCTTCCATTCGCTCCCCAATGTTCCTCGTAACATACAAACAACTCGAGGAGCAAATGGAGGATCTGATTTTACTTAGAATGATCTAAATCTATTTCATCAACATGTTAGTACCATCCATATCCATTTTGGCGTAAAGAGCGTCTAAATCTTCACGTCTTAGATGATGGTCACCGTTGGCATCGTAGATATCATACAGCGCATGCGCATAACTTAGCAGTTCTGGAGCTTGAGACCCGACGAAGGAAGTGTACTCATGACGACTTATTTGTCCATCTTCTGAAATGTCGTAAATTGTGTCAGATTCTTAGACTACTGCTAAATGGTTCTTTCAAACAAAAGATTCTATGAATCGACAATTTTGTTCAAACAACTATATAGCAATTTGCACGTGATGATATGATGTACATGTAATAAAATTTGTTTGACTTACTATTGAAATCGTAGTACGCAAATGCATCATGTAGTTCCGCCAATGAGAAGACGTCATTATTATCATAGTTATTAACGGTCCAAAGTTCCTGTATATGCTGCTGATACTGAGCTTCCGTCCATTCACTATGTCCATGTCCATGGTTTTGACTGTAGGTATACACAAAATACCCATGGTATACATTTTTCTGTACAGGTTTATACTAGCAGTAATGTTTTTTGGCGACGTTTACAGTACATATATCTACCTCTCTAATAAAATACATGTATAGATAAAATGTATTTTATTTTCTAAAGACTACATGAATATTATTTTTTTTTAAAAACTATATTTTTTAGGTAATTCCACCCTCCTATGATGTCATAGGTTTTTGCAAAACTGAAAATAGTTTAAATTCATACATAAAAGTACAATGTCTTTTGGAAGAATGCTTTACAATAGGTGTAATGATAAATATTATTAATTAAAAGAATTTTAAAAAATAAATATTTTTTTTTATTTAATTACATATTTTAGTAATATACACAGAAAATTTCAGATAAATGTATGCATAAATAAACAAATTATGTGGTTTTATGCCATGTATTGTATCATCTTACGGCGCATGGATTATAACGTCAAAGTGTCTAAAACAGCGTCACGTTTTATCTTTGCTGAAAATGAAGTTGGATGAGTCCGACTGAAATTTAGAAATTTCATTGATACACATTCTTAAGTCTCCATTAACAGCCGAAGAACCAATTGGCACCCTAATGCGATCTTCTGAAGATTTATCAGTAAGTTACGGACAATATTCTCACCATCATTTAACTAATAGAAAATCTCATATCGGCGGTCTACTGTGACAGCGTCTTTTGCTATTACATTAGGAATTTGTCCGTATGTTTTGTACTCCCCTGGGACTCGATCAAAAAGAGTTCGCTAAGAAAACTCCTATTTCATTTGTATACTTAAGATATGGTGATATTTATATAATCCTTTTTCTTCTATGGTCATTTCAAGTCTCTAAAGGTGTCATTACAACATTAAATTAAAACGGAACTGCTCTCCGGTGCGCCGTAACGTCATAAAACGTCGCCATTTTTCGCGTGTTGTGTTTACCACTTTCCCATTTCGAATGCTTGAGAAAATGCCAAAAATTAACCAAATACCTTAAAATTTTTGCGAAGACTACAAAATTGATTTTTTAATTGAATAAGGATAATTTTAATCCAAATCTTATGTATTTAAAACTTTTATTTTGAATTCAAACTTGTATATTCTTTAATAAAACCTTGGTTTATTTGTCCGTGCGCTGTAGGACAATACCCCGTGCACATTCAAGCATAATAAAATCTTTATTTTTGCATATATTTTATCAAAAAAATTATCATGCACTTAAATATGATAAATAAACATTTACTGAAATTTTCAGCTTAGTGCGCCCATTACTTTTCGAGAAAAACGCTTTGTCCACGATTTTACGGGACAACCCTCGTATTTATCGTAAATTATTCAATCTTTTAAAAATGTTGACACGGGCAATAACTCCTTCTAAGGTCTTTCATTCGGGCATAAGCTTTGTTGTACTTCCAGTGTAAAATAGGTTCCCTGATATTCACAATTTAAAAATATCTTTTAAGTAGGAAGTATTTAAACATTCAGCATCAGAATTGTGCATTTTAGGCAGGTCTTACATATTTTTCATAATGCTGCTAACAAAAACTGTGCGAGTTTTTTATGTTGACATACACTTCTGTTTATTTATGTTTCACATCTTAAATACTAGTAATATGTTGACCTATACATTTTTTGCAATGACTGGAAAATTTTAAGTATATTGAATTAAATAAATGCAGTTTTTGTACTTTGAACGATTAAAATTGTGAGGGTGGAAACACCTTAAATACGTATTTTAAAAAAATTCCAAAAAAGTTGCAGTATCTTAATTTGCTTTGAAACCGGTGACAGTTACAAAAGCTATGACGGTCACCTTAACTCAGCGAATCCCTTAGATAAGATTGGTCATTATTGAAAATGTTGTACTTGGCATACTTTGTCCATTAAACGTGTCAGTATTATAATTAAGTCTGATTAATTTGTGATAGACCTGAAATAGGGACTTTAATTTCTGACCACTTCTTTTATTATCATATTAGTACAAGGTTCATACTCTTCATAAGTGCCTTACGTCAACAGTTACCGTATATTATTTATTGAAATAAAACAATTTAGTATGACCATCTCTTCTATCTTGATGATGATTATGTTGAATTGCAGACATTCTTATTCCCGGCTTCATGTAACATTTGTTATGTGAAAATAATGGATATTTACAAAGAAAATTGACCATTGATATCTATAATAAAGAAATCTTTTTCTTGAGATTAATATGCTAACATACATGTATGTTGATTTAAAATATTTTGTAGCTGATGCAAAAAGAAATAGATTCTTTCAGACTGATCTTTTAAAAGGTTGACGTACCTGAAACCAGTCGCGCTTGTCATAAGAACCAACAGTACGATAGAATGCATGGTCATATGTGGTGTTTCACATGCATTAGACTTGTCATAAATACCGATAAAAAGTTTTTGCAGTCCATAGTATTCTTGACTCTTATATCAGATAAGCAGACATTTGAAAGCATAAATATTTCTTTCAGCATAGAAGAAGAAACAGGGAGTTGGATCTGAGGTGAAGGGATGACACTTTATCCTAGACCTGAGGTCTGAGGGCCCCCAGTTGGTCCATGGTAAAGTCTTGGTTAGAGTTAGGGGACAAAGCCTGCGGAAGTGAAACTTTGAGATGACGAAGAATATTCAAACTCAAATGTCCATTCAAACGATACCAAGCAGGAACAAAATACACGAACCTCTAAAGCATCAGAGGTGGGATCAGGTGCCATGAAGATGTAAGCATCCCAAGCCGAAAAAAACCCGGAAAATCCGTAGACAAAGCGGTGTGTAAACTAGAGGTACATGTACCTTGAGCAATTAGCTCACTAAATGACATCCCCGCCTACATATGATTATAATGATTAATTGATTGTATGTTGTATTACGTCCCATTCAAAAATTTCATAATCATATAGAGACGACACCGAATACAGATGAAGGACTTCAGATTTTGACCTTTACTTGGCAATCGGGGCCTATGTTAAGTGACATATCTTTATCGCACCAACATGACACGGGACCTCGGTTTTTAATGTCTCCTCCAAAGGACCCGCAATTTACACTTTAAAGAGCTGAGTGAAGGCGAAGGAATCGTTGCTGCCCGTTTTTTTTTTGAAATAAAAAATAATTACAAGGATAATAGCAAATTTAAGTGGTCAAAGAAAAGTTGCAGATAAGAGATATGCAACCTACAATATAATAGAAAAAAATGTCAGTGTTTTGATATGGGAAACCTTAAATATAAGTCAGATCAAAAAGTAAATAGGAGATCCCAATAACATATGTAACAAGAGTCTGTGAAAATCTCATTAAATTTCATTCAGTGGTATAAGAAGACTTGCAAATCCCCTCCTCCATTTTTCAAGCAGGGGTGGGTGGGTATAATAATTGCCTTACAAATAGTAACTATGAAAAACGTCCATCAACATTTGACTTAATTGTTGCATATGTATTTGCTGACAAGATCATTGTATTGACTTTAGAGTTTGCAAAATGACTTTAAAAGAGACTTTGATATTTATGCTTTTTTAGATGACCATTAACTTCGAAAACATTTTTTATATTCCTATGGTGATAATCGCCTCGTTCTTCTTTAAACATCGGGAACGATACCATCTGACGTTCTAGAAAGTTCAGTTAATATTTATAAGTTAAAAAAAAATATTTTTTTTATCAATTATGTTTTTATCGAATTATTTATTAATTGTTCATTTAATTCATTTATCAAACCATTGCTTGTCATCATTTTCATTGAATGCCAGTAACATAAATCCGTTCCCCCTTCTCTCTTTTTTGCTATTTCACGACTGTTTATCGAAAATTAAAGTAGTCTTTAATAATTAGTATGCCAATGGAATCTGAATATAGTATGCGGACAAAATATCACACCTAGTGAAATATCAGAGGATTAAGTTTGAACTCTGGTGCAGGCGTTTCAGGCTTTAATTTCAAAGTTAATTAATTTTTAAGTACAGATCTTATTTTTCATTATATTTGAAAAAAAGACTTGTGTCGCAAAATGCTACACTTTCACATTATCAAATGTTGTGACCATTGTGATTTCTTTTATCATTGGGTGAGGTTTCATAAGGTCGGATTTGCGCATTTAAATCAACACACAAAGTATAAAGATAAGATTTCTATACTGAGGTCCATTTTTCACTTTCAATTACAGCCTAACAGAATGGAACGTATTGTTTTCCTTTGTGCCATTTTGGAGTAGCCTTCTCAGCCCAGTACGTTAATAGCACTTTACAATTAATGTGCAGAGATTCATGACTTAAAATAATATGAACACCTACCTTTTCATTGGCTGTCAAGTACTTCAGGGTTTCCTCGACAACATTAAGCTTTCTTTATTACTTGGGTTGTTGTGCAAAAGTACTTGATTGAGGCGTGAAATTGGGCTTGGAGCCTATAGGAACTTTATCGTAACACAACAAAACTAACTTATTTAATTTCTATGGCTTCCATTGAAATGTTATAGATAACTTTGTAATTATAACGCACTTGCATGAATGCATGCGCAGATTTCATATCAATCTTAATCCTTAATAAAAATTTTATGCATCTTATAAATTTAACATTTGTGAAATAACCCTGCTTAAGGACTTTTATTTGTTGTTTAACTTTTTTTTACAGGATAGATTTTCGCCCTTACAACCAGTCTGCTCTGGCTCTTTTCCATGAATCAGATACTAACAACGATGGAGTCTTCTCTCGCCAGGAATTGGACAAAGAATTTCTCAAATATGACATCAACGGTAAGAATTCATTTTCACCATTTATTCATCAAGTCACAACTTCTAGATCAAAGTACAATATGCTGGAATGGTATCAATAATTTCACACCAATTGACTTATAATCACAATAGTAAAAAGCTGTTAAAAGTAAGCTTGTATAATAGAAAATGCAATATTTGTTTGGGTACTCCATGTGAAATTTACAATAAAAATTCATGGAACTTCTAGAATGAGGTAAAAATTCCATA